AGTTCGACGTGCGTTTCTTACTTGTTGAACAACAATTCGTTGTGATAGTGCCTCTTCTCTTTCAGATCTCCTATGAGACTGTACGGCGACATAATTACGTGATCGTCGGCCTATGTTCTGTCGGCTTGGGCGTGGCCCATTTTTAAAAATGTATAATATGTTTTATATATATATTAGCTGTACGATATATTTAATCAAAAATTTTCACTCTCATTCTTTCACAAACAAACAAATAAATAATCATAATGGCAGTTTATCCTAAATAAACAACATAAAAAAACCCACAGCAACCAAACATTTCCAAAATCAATTTTGGCCGTGTCACCAGGGGTGCACTTAAGAGGCCATAACTCCGGGACCAATTATCGCACAGCTTTCAAACTTCACAGAAACTATCTACATATCAATCTTAATATTCCCTGATATTTTTATCCAAATCGGTTCGGTGGATCTTGAGTTATAAAATTACTTCAAAATGTACACTAATTTTTATATATATAGATAAAATAAATATTACCATAGAAACAATATGTAAACATTATTGTAAACAGTCAATATTAAATAATATATTCGTTCATATTAATCATATATTTTACCGACAGTACAAATTTATCAATTAGTAAAATAATTCTAAGTTTTACAATTAAATTGATCAAAGTTCACATAAATCAATATGTCTTTATTATTGGCGAACAAACATAAAATAAATTTAATTAAAGCAATTAGGCAATCGATAATATGGTATACACAATCTACAAGGACAATAAATCATACAAATGTAATAGAAAGTCCTAAAGTTAATCAAACAATATGTCTAATATTTTTGTCTTTAAACAGTTATCCTTAAATTTTGTTTTTAGAAATTGCGCTTTTGCAGTAATACGAGTACGTCAAGAAATCCTGATTGGCGAATAAAACAATTAAATTATCATTATGATCAGTATAATATTAGCCCGTGTATTAAAGGTAAATATTTATATATTTATTTATTATTTTGTTAATAGTACCTACATCACCATAAGAAATATGTYAATGTCCTTAACACCTTAACATACATAAAAATTGTAAATATTTGTAAAGATATTGTTATATTTTAGGCGTAAATGGAATTTTTTCGGATGAAAAAATGTTAAAAGAATTTAGGGACCAATTACATAAATTTATTTCCAAATTTAACACTCAAAATAACAAATTTCTAATCCAAAATTCTAAGCCAAGCAGATACAGGCAAACACAACAATACAAACACAAATTGGCGAAAGAGCAACTATGATGGAGATTTAAATGAGAGGTTAGTAGGTACAAGTCGTTTGTTACAAATAATCACTTAATGATTCACCGGCAGACACACACGGAAGAGAAGCCTTACCCATGCGATATATGCGAAAAGTCGTTCAGTGAAAGTGGTAGTTTGATGAAGCACCGGCGGTCACACACGGGAGAGAAGCCTTACCCATGCGATATATGCGAAAAGGCGTTCAGTGAAAGTGGTAGTTTGATGAAGCACCGGCGGACACACACGGGAGAGAAACCTTACCAGTGTGATATATGCAGCAAGTTGTTCAATCAARTAAGTCATTTGACCACACACCAGAGAACACACACGGGAGAGAAGCCTTACCCATGCGATATATGCAGCAAGTCGTTCAATCAAGTAGGTAATTTGACCACACACCAGAGAACACACACGGGAGAGAAGCCTTACCCATGCGATATATGCGAAAAGTCGTTCAGTAGGAATTATAATATGATGAGTCACCGGCGGACACACATGGTAGAGAAGCTTTACCCATGCGATATATCATATAATATGCGACAAGTCGTTCAATCTAGTAGGCGATTTTACCGCACACCAGAGAACACACACGGGAGAGAATCCTTATCCATGCGATATATCCCAGACAGAAAGATTATAAGTATAACATAACAACATTTGTAATGACTAATATTTTTTTATCACTACAATTTGATTATAACGCCATTAAAATATTGTTTTAATAATATTTTAGTATTATTTTTTGGCTTGGGTTTTGGGCTTTAATTATTTTTATAACGTTTTAAACGTTTCATATATAATAATACAATAATAATATCAACGTTGTTTTTTA